GATAAGCTACACCATTGTGTAACAGGAACAGGAAGTGATACTGTTCCCAACACTGGACCAACACCGAGTGAGAGTGCTACCATCCTCGACCAAACCTTGGCACAGTACAGTCAGATCTTTTTCCTGGTAACCACCAACCCAAATTCATCTATCCGATTGCCAGATAGAAAAGCGAGATTCGTCACTCCAGAGAAAATGCCTTCACTCCAGAGAACAGGCCTTCCTTTCACTGCCTGCACTGAAGTCTAGTTGTCCAGCATGCTTTACACGACTGCATGCAGGTTTTGCATTGTGTTTGGTGGTGTAAGGCTGGATGCAGCTGCACAGGAATCTGTTCTTGAGCTAATCTGAAGATCACATGAAGTTTGGAGGTCTGTAGTGATTGACTGTGCAGAATTTGGTGACCTCTGCTCACTATATGCATCAGCATCTGCTGACACCACCAATTTGTGAATAAGTTACCGTCTTCCCCAGTCACTTCCAAGTTGTTATAATACCACTTACACTTGACTTTGGAATATTTAGTAGCAAGGAGATTTCAGAACTAGACTTGTTGCACAGGTAGCATCCTACCATGGCACCACACTGGAATTCACTGAGTTCCTGAGAGTGACCCATTCTCTCACAAATGTTTGTAGAAGCAGTGGCCATGAAAGTAAGTGGGACACTTGAATTTGGTGATTTGGATTGGTGAGTGAATACTTTTGGCAATATAGTGTTAATACCAACAGCAGAGATCTCACTTTGACACTGCCTTCTTGGATAATACTGATTCCCTACATTTTCTACCATGCACTATCAAATAAAGACAAATATAATAGATTTTTATGAGACTTTAAATAAGATTTAAAAAAAGACAAGTCAGGACAACCAATCCCGATGAACTGTTATTAATCAGCTGTTATTATCCTAAAAGAAATGTGCATCTTTACATTAGTTTTAGAATAGGTTGAAAATAAAATATTGCATGTATGCATATATTGAACGTCACATGATAGCTCTGTCTCTGTGTTTCAGTTCTCGGGTCTCTATCTGTTGTCATTCTTCATCATTATCTTGGGCCTGGTTTTTTACTCCTCCTCGTCAACCTATGTGGTCCAGGACCCACGAGTCTACAAGCAATTCAGAAACAAAGACAATCAAACACCATATGAACCACCTCCACTTTGCCCTAGAGTCTTGGAGCCCACTGTCATCTACACTACCCTGAGCCCTGAGCAAGGAGACGAGTTTCCTGTTAAAGTAGCCTAAGAACTGGGACAGAGTTAAGTGCATTAGCCTGATAAACTTGTGAGTCAGGTGCAACCCCCAGGTTTCCCTTGTATACAAATGAATAGTGCTAGGCTTTGCCCAATCTGGTAAGCAGGATAGCTGGGATCACCCAGGTAAGTCATGGTATTCATTTCATGGTCTTAATGGAGAAATGTCTCCATGCTCATAAACACAAATTCATTTAGCTACATATTGTATGTACTGAGAAATGACTGACCAGAATGTAATTTAAACACATAGCAATGTGAGTTGAGTTCACGGTCATCAAAGACTGTGCATAGAGTATAGTAGCTGTATATGATGATGTAAAGAGATGGTATTGTAATTTTTATGTTATCACGTATTTCTTCTAATATTTGCAAGAGGATATTGTATGGATGTAAACTATCGTCTGCCCAATATTGCTCTTATTTCAAAGAAAGAAGTTCAATAAATTTACAAAATTAAGTGCACATTGTATATAATAATAAGGATTCTCTGTAGGATCTGATTGTTTGCAGGCTGAAAGAAGGATAACTATATTCTAACGCCCTGTTTTCCACAGTGTAAGTATTAGTGAGGCGTGAAAGAGATTTCAAATTCAGTGTTATATTTGTCATAGGCCCTAGAATGTTGAATTCAGGATCCAGCTGATGTTTGTGAGGTACATTTTGGTTTTTCAAGAGATGCATTCAGAGGAGTCATGTATCATCTGGACTGCTGTTACAGCTGTATACTGTTTTGAAAAATACAGGTCATTGTTCAAAATGTTTTTGTTGGTTGCTTTGAAAAAAAAATGTACAGTACATACAGTGAGATCAACCTTAACTGAGTTTTATTTATCGGACACGGTTTTTATGTGTAAATAATTGTATGCAATTGGAACATAAAAAACGAAGGTTGACAAAACATAACTTAATTGCGTGCAACCAATGTACATTTTTTTATGTTAATCCCACAGGTTATTTTTTTCAGTGTACTCTAGTGGTGTACATGACAGATGATTCATTTCAAATAATAAAATATAAAAGATGTCCATTTGTTGGTGTTCATAATTCTATTTTTCACATCCCAAATTTCCTAAAAATAATTAGAAAACCATTTCTGAAATGCACTTACTCAGTAGAAACAATAATACAGACATAATACTGCTGAATACTGACTGACATTTTTAACAATATGTTGCGTTACTACTGAGTCACTCATATTAAATGAAACCCATTGTGGAGGAGGGTGTTTCTTCTTCACTCACTATGTGTTAATAGACCTCTCTGCATTGAATCATACCTGTTATTAATCTCTGGCTCTCTTTCACAGCATGTCTTTAATCCTGTCTTCCTTGTCTCACCCCAGATGGCCGCCCCTCCCTGAGCCTGGTTCTGCTGGAGGTTTCTTCCTGTTAAAAGGGAGTTTTTCCTTCCTACTGTCGCCAAAGTGCTTGCTCATAGGGGACCATATGACTGTTCGGTTTTCCTCTGTATGTATTATTGTGGGGGTACCTTACAGTATAAAGCACCTTGAGACGACTGTTGTTGTGACTTGGTGCTGTAAAAAAAAATTGAATTGAACTGAAGTAAATACAAATAGCAATTTGAATGATGACTTTATTTGTTGAGGAATAAAAATATCCAATCCTACTGGTCCTGTGTGAAAAATAGTTGTAAGTTGTTAAGCTAAAGCTTAATCATAGAAAAATAATTTAGGTTTAAACCGAATGAGAAAATGTAACATGTGAAATAAAGTGTCCAAGCATGCCAGGAACATGCTTGGATGTAGTTATGTGGAAGTATAAAAGTGCTGAGCAGAGAAGGCAAACTGTTATTCCTTGTTTCAAGCTGGTGAGCAGACGGGTGACTGATCTGTGGGATCTGCAGTAGAAATAGTTGAAACGAGGAGCAGCAGGGAAATAGCCAAATCCCAACCACTGCACGTATCTACTCTTTGCCCCCATTATTGTCAGAAACCCATCAGAGACAGGTTATATTTTTATGCCTTAGTTTAGCTTGTGTTCATGGCTTATTTTATTTGACCTCTGAATGTACTCGAGTATTTATATATTTTTGCATTGAAGTTACATTTAACTAGGGCACGTAGATAGACGTGGGTTGGTTCTTTTGACAGACGTATCTAAAATGGAAATTTTCACCTTTTGAATATTTATTATTGTTCATTAATAAGAAAATGGTTTATCTGATTAATTGGTGGAATACTCGATAATTACTTGATGAGCCCTACACCTCACTGCAACAAAAGAAATCCTTTGCAAATGTTGACATACAAGCACTGAGAAGAGATGCACTTTATTTGTCCTCTATTTGATACATTCCTTTATTACAGCAGTTGAAATTAATATCTGCAGAGCGCAGTACTGTATTATAGATGAAGATTATATTTGGTACAAAAGATTTCCACCTGAATCTTTCGGTACACGGCCTGCATAAACTGAAGAACACTGCAAGATATCCAGAAAGTGGAAAACTGTCATTGATGAGCACTTAAAAAAATAAAATACAGGTCTAACTGCCTGGACGCAAACTACAAAGAAGTGAGCAAAATTGAAGATAAATGTAAACGTCTGTAAATAGAAAAAGAACTTTAGAGTTTCCTGCCACTACCCTGGTGGTTTTTCATGTTACTGCCATCTCATCTTGTGATTTCAGCTTGGATTTAATGGTATTAAGCATGATGAGATGAGATTTCCTTTCAGGAAACAAATGACTGAACACTGTGTGACACATTACCACAGGAGACCTTTAGGTTCAGAGCTCAATGAGTGTTTTGGTGGACCTACCAAATAATGGTGAAGCTGACAACTGTGTACGACCCAGCTAAACAACAAACAACAAATTAGACTTGACTCCCCCCGCCCATATTTCTTTTATTAAATCAGTTACAATATACTGTTAGGTCAAGAAGAAAAAAAATATCACAGATGAGAGTCAAACACATCCACAATATGTCTGAAACAAGCTAATGCGCTACGCAAGAACTTATCAGGAAGCTTGTCAAGCAGTCAAAACCACAAATGTTATCAAAAAGCAAGTCAGAAGCAACAAAAACAAGAATGCATCTTGTTACTCAATTAGCTGAGCGTGTGCAGACATGTGCAATATAAAGAAGAACTATCTACACCAACACATATGCACAACACTGCTCACGCAGGGTGATGGAGCCAGTGGGAACCTACTCTTGCTTCTAAATGTCACAGCTGCTCATGCACAACTCAAGAGAATAAAAACATTTTTTCCCTTTTTTAAACAAGAAACAGCATACAGAACATTACAGTGCAGAGTTGATGTGCACGCAGGATCATAGGAACCTTTTCAGATACAACTACTGTTAACATCACGTCGAGTTTTCAAAGAAAAACGTGCAAGTCGTCACTGGGTTTAACAGGATATACTAATGACTGCAATGAACTGTTAAGGATTCATGAGAATGGGCTGAAGTCACAGCTGGGAAAAACAAAAACAAAACAAAACACATGAACGTCCTGACTAGTTCATCACCTTCTGGTTATGTAGCTACACTCAGCAATACAAGCAACTCACCAGAGCCAATAAACAACCATTCCTTCAGCACTGACTCATGCAATGTTATTTAACTACTAAGTTTCTTAATTTGCAGTAACAAAACACAGGTGAAAGCTTCAATATTTGGAGCAGTGGGACAGTGTGCAGTTTCAGTCAAAGTCCCTATTGACCAGGACCAGTGGAGCCACCAATGTCCACACATAGAGTGCGATGCAGATCCAGCTGGAGGAGATCTTCACCCACACAGACGGCCACTTGCTGGTGATGGCCTCATACTTGGAGTCAGGGCTGCGGATACACACAAATAAAGTGGACTAGTTACTAGTTGCTTCTATCCAAATAATATACCTTAGCAGAAACACAAAACGCGCCTTATTTGGACCTAAACCCCACATATGAGGTAAGAAATCCAGAGCAAAGGTAACGTCTCTGACTATGGAAGACTGCGCAACTTTAAACTTATTGTGGACAAAACCCATGAAATAACAAATATAAAGTACAAAGACAGACTTATACAGGTCTCCTACAGCGTGAAACCTACCTATACCAGTTGGTGAGTGTCATCATGATGTAGAGCGACGCAAGGAACAACATGAAGTGGAAGAAAGAGTAAGAATACGTGACACCATCTTTCTCATTGTCCACAGCTCTGTTGGGGCCGTTTCCCTCCTCAAAGCTGTCCGTCTGAGGCCCATCTTCAATGAGAGCAGACTCATCACTGGTCAGAGTCAGCTTGTTGACTTGGGCATTGGATGAATTGCGGATGCTGACGAATAAACAGAGGGCTACAGTTAGAATCGTGCTATCCACAAAGAGACAGCCTGCGGGTTAGTAAATGAACCATTTAGTTGTCTGGGTGTTTGCAAGTTTAGAATTACAAAGATAATTAAGGAGTTCCATACCTGGAGTAAAGGACACACATAAGGAAAAGGATCAATCCCACAATCCCTTGGGCATCCCACCACTGAACCACATGGTTCTGACTTCCAGGACTTGTGGTGTTTAGCCCAATAATGCCCAGAAGGCTTGGGTTACATTTCCTGTCTGAGAGACAAGAAGAGATTCTTTAATTATCTAATTACCGTCATCTGCACAGCCACTGAAGTCTATTCAAATGCACTACATGTCAGTGATATCGGTAGCGTTTAGCATTTAGGAAGGTGTTCTATCCATCTATATTCTTAGTGTGCTCCTGTACTTCCTTTCCTTCCCGTTGCCACCAACCCAGTGAAGAGGTAGAAGACAGCAATGCCCTGCAGGAATGCTCTGACACTACAGACATGTTCTGTGATCCAAATGGAAATGACAGCAATAGCATCACAGACTACATCACTGACTGTATACATTTCTGTGAGGATCGTCCCAACCAGGACTGTATGCAGTTTTCCTAACAACAAGCACTGGATCACCATCGACACTACACTGGTTGGATGTACTAAGGGTGGGCAGGAGTCAGAGTACAGAGAGCTGGTGAGGAAGAAATCCCCTCGTTCTGAATGTAATCAAGACAACAGAGATGGCAGTTGACTTCCAAAAGAAAAAGTCTTCAGCTAGGCCCATCAACATCATGGGTGAGGAGGTGGAAACAGTGGAGAGCTACTGGTAGTTTACATTGATGCTGTTTGTAAGAAGGGGAAGCTCAGATCCTCTAATGTGTTGGAGGTGATCTACCAGTCTGGCCATCTAATTTGCTGTTGTCTGCTGGCGGAAAGCATCGGCGCCAGAGTCCGTAGGCTTTGAGTCGGTGAGGGACAAACTGCTCTCCGTCATGGACAAGCCAGCATCACTCCACACTTCGAAGGCAGCAAAGCTCCTTCCTTCATTCTTCCTCAGTGTGATTCAACCCCGCTGCCTCAAACAACACTTCAGAAAATCATTCCTACTGTTTTATAGAGACCAGTACAGTAACTACTTGTTCTATGACAGCAGATCACACCTATTAGCCAAACCATCCCACACATATTTTTGTATTATACCTTCATGCAGCAGTTTCTTAGATTAATAGCGGACATATTTATCAACACAATTTGCACTACTCTGCAAAACGTCAGTCTTAATTTTACTGTTTTTTTTAAACCAACTTCGTTGCTACTTTTTTAAAAATCACTGTTGTATTTGTAAATCTTTGCATGTGCATTTATTAGCGTCCGCACTAGGCACCTGTGGCACTCTGTTTATTGTACACTGCAGTATTTTTATTCTTTGTCCAGCTGCTCTAACAACAGTTTTCCTTGTGGGATCTATCTGGACCAATAGAAACACCCATATTCACAAGTAGAGTGTGGCCATGTGGAGAGAATGGAACTGATAAATCACACAATAGATCGATGCAGCATGAAGCATCCCAAAAATACACAGGCCCACATTAGATAAAAACTATTATTGATCAGTTTGAGAATAAAGTTGAAATCTGTTGGTGTCAAACTGATTCTCAAAGCAGCGTTCCGGGATCACTGCTGGCTTTGGGCGGGCACCTGTCCGTTCACGTCAGAGCATGGGGTAGATGTGGACGGACGTGTATCTGTGTGTGTGGGGCTAGGCCTGGGTCTGGGGGTCAGTTATGGGCACATACCAGTACACTGCAAAACACAGCAGGCTGAAAAGCTTTTGTTTTCTTACCAGGCTCATTGGTCATAGCAGACCAGGTCAGGTACATGGTGTACAGTGTCACCAGAGAAGACTGCAACAGGCCAGACCTGGGCTGGGACTCCTGTACATGACACACCACACATCAGTTATCTCTAATTTCTAACAACAACTTTCATACATGACACATTCTGAATTATATTAGGCGACACCTCCATGACTCCATCATCTCATGTCTGACTCATCTTGCTATAATTCATGCCATTATTCTTTTAGTGT